CACACAGCAATTTCAAATTCAATTTTTAGCTATGGCCGCCTTTATTTATTTTTTTTTGTCTTGTTCCCTTCTAGATTTAATTAGAGGCGAGCTGAACGAGTGTGGCGGCCACTGTGGATTTACATTAGCAGCACGAGCCACTACATGCATAAAAAGCACTCCGGAATAGTGAAAAAACTTTTTTCCCAGCAAAATCTTTTTCCGCTTGCTTTGAATAATGCGAATTTTAAATTTCTTAAAAATTTTCACTTTTCTCACACCGCACTCCGCGAATACCAAACACTACAACCGTTTTCATACTGTGCGCAACAAAACAATGGCGGCCACGATAGTGAATTTTCTTATTCTGCGATTTTTTTTTCAAAAAATTTTTATTCACTGTGAAATACACTTTTTTCTTTGCTCTGCACATCCGAATTCGAACGAACACAGCCACTACTAAACCGACGTGTATCTCAGTCACACTGTATTAATGGTAGCTGTACTCGTTTTTCCCATTTACTTCTTTGCTATCGCACACAATGCGCGTACTCGTTGCCGAAGTAACGAATAAATATCTGCCTTCCTGTTCCCACTTAAAACAAGACTGCATTCACTTTCCCGTTCTACTGCATTGAGTCGTATTGGGAAGTTTGGAGATGCCACAAATAAGGCGTTTTTAAAAGGCAGTACTAAATTTAACAATAAAACAGCACCTGGTTATAATTCCATTAATTTCTCAAAAACCAATATTTAAATATATTTATTTTTTAATTCAAACTCTATGATTGGAAATCTAGTAGCGAAGCATTGCAACAAATTCACGACATTTTCAACTCGAGGTATGGCATCACTTGCATCGTCGGTGAAATAACACGCACTTTGCACTGCTTTATGCCTTCAGTAAAATATGTACTTGCCTATTTCTATGCACTTCCTTCGTAAATGCTTCAGATTATGTCCTTTTCTGAATTTTGCATTTACTAATTAAATTTTTCACAATTTTCTAATTTAAATTCACTGCGTGCAATGATTACACCCCGAAATGTGCCAGAGTCATGCTCCTACTCAATTTACACTGCTTTACCAACTTTCAGGGTTGCATCCAAAAATGTTGATTGTCAAATGTATTTGTTTTTGAATGCAGTAATTTAATGATTTTAAAACTTGCCAATAATTTTTGTTTACTGAAATTCATGCAGCGGTATCTGCCATTCTTTTAACGTTTAATGGTGAACCCTTTGTAGGAGTAGTCAGGAATCTCTTTAATCTCAGAGAAAACCGCCTTGTCAATGCGAGATGTGGGACTACCTTTGTTTTCCAACCAATATTTCCTAGTAGGGGACAAATGTTTTAGAAAATTGGAATAAATGAGGAAATGCTCACATTTCGTTGATTTTATCTTGGTCTCCCTCCAGTTTGCCGCGCACGGTGCCGTGGGAAGTATTCATGCACCATCCACGAAGTCCAAACACTTTAGCCTGCTTTTCTGTGTGCTGTTGGTATTAAATACATATTAAACATTTCATAGTAATCTAATAAAGGGTATAAATGAATTTTACTAACCTTCCTGAAAAAGACCCCTTTCGAAAACAAAAAATTGCATTATTATCTACATACTTATATTTGGCGTCATAATTACCTTGTACTCTTCCAAAGACTTCAAAATCTACACCGTAGATCCTTTTTGCTGCCATTTCGACTTCTTTAAAAGAAAATGCGTCTCCTTTTACAGATTCAGCCGTTTCAGGAAAAGATATAACACATATAAATATATTTATGAAAAGTATTTTATTGAAGGCAAAACTTTTATAAGCTGCCATAACAACAATGGTAAATTTATTGTTTTTATGACAACTAAACCAAAAATAAAACAAAATCAGCTGTTAAGTCTTGAGCTAACAACTGACAGGGTTTCAGTTCTACATCGATTATTTTGTAGTAACCAACTGCGGGAAATAGTACTTTAACCCTTTTATGATAAAATGAAATTGAACGTGCTTTTAATCATGCCTATTACAGTATTCGATGGATACCACCCGCACGGATCTAATTCGATTCGCACTACCATAACAAGTGAGTGAGGAGGATTAGATTTGTGCGAATAGCATCTCTCGGATACATGCCTATTCCTGAGGCCGAATCACGGCTCTCGTGATCGAGCAATATGTTTCGAAATTTTCTGTTTTGGCATCACCGCATTCGTGATCGGGTAGAAGCTATCGAAATTTGGCATCACCAAATTCGATATCGAGCAGACGTTCGAGTAAAATCTTTCGAAACACCATTCGACAGTAAATTTTGCATCGAAGAAGTTAAGAATTAGTATAAAACGTTAGTATATTTCTAGGAAAACTCTTGTTAACTTTAATAATTTTTTATATTTAAGGACAAACATAAACAAAATCAACAAAAAAAATTATTTCGGAATATATACAGAGCAACTGGACTTCGCGCTCAAGGAAGGACGGTAGTTCAAAGTTTTGGTCAAAACGTGTAGGTCATAGAAAAGCTAGTTATGCAAAAAATTAACCTTTCATAATCTTCAGGTTTTGAGCAACATTTTTGCAGTCTGATTTAACGCTTTCAAAATTCCATACAAATCTAATTTTCATTCTGTATCAATATGAATTTTTCAGAAGCTTTGAAAGGTTATTCTAAATATCCCAAATATAGTTTTTGGTCTGTCCAAGTGAAACAAAAAACATCATTGTCGGCCCATTCTATGGGCCCTGTCACACGGTCAGTATTTATAGACGTGATCCAAGTATCGCGATATTTATTGACGGTGTAGCATGCAGTATTGATGGATCGTGATCCATATCGCAAAATTTCTAAAAAATTTTAAATCTGGATCGCGGCGTTGAGATATCTCGAGTTATCGTGTACACGGACAGACGTGTATATATATTTTTTTGATTTTTTTGGACTTAGCACATTTGCGTACCAATGCATAACAACAAGTAAAAACGACATTACGGTAATTTTCTTTTTTGGCAATGATGTATTTTCAGTTATGCTATCTTACTGCATCAAAATCTCAATTTACATAAAAAGTGGACGGAGTCGATGTTCCTCCGCTTGACCATGACGAGGTACGAATAGCAATAACGCGGCTGAAAAACAAAAAGCTGCTGGAGCTGACAGCTTGCCAGCTAAGCTATTCAAATACGGTGGCGAGGAGTTAATAAGGTGCTTGCATTAACTCTTATGGCCAGATGAACGCATGCTAAGAGTACCTACAACTCCAGAGCAAGCTTTTCAGTCCTTCCGCGCTTTTCAGGCTTTCAGCTACACAATTCAGCTATTGCGGAAAGCCTGAAAAGCGCCGACCGCCCGAAAAGCTTGTTGTGGAGTTGTACTCTGAAACGCTGAGTTACATGGTTTTCGTTGTAGCATGCACCCTATTTTTATGGAAAAAAAATTAAAATTAATAAATAACAAGAGGTGGTCCAAACTTGTAAAAGAAAATCGTTTCTGACTATCGGGCCGACCTGACTGACTTCATTTTCAGAATCGGAAGAGCATTTGGGGAGGTTCTCTACCAGTTGCGTTTGCTTGTGCCTTTGGCCGCGCTTAGGGATTATAACCCTTACTAGGTAGACTTCACCTTCTGTGTTGCCGAAGAAGAAGGGCGGAATTCGTCCATTCTTTTTTGATCGTTCATATAAAGCAGCGGATAAAAATATAGGTACATGCGAAATGCAAAATTATCTATATAATTATATATATAATTTAGAGAACACCACTAATATTTTCTCCAAAACCACATCGACCTACATCTTTTTGCTTAATTTTTATCTCGCTTCCAACAGAGAATTGTTTTCGCACAAACCCTGCAAACCATTTTTTCAGAGCATTCTGAATTGTTGAGAAATTTCAAATAATTCGTAAAGATCTCATTTTTTGCTAAGTTTTATAAAATGAAATGAACTGTGCACACGTCGATTCTTTTACGTAATTTCGGAGGAAGATCACAATAACAATCTGCCTTATCCTGAGTTTCGCCAGAAAAAAATGCACCCGAAAATTTATCATCCGCCCATAGTAAAACCATGATAAAAGCATAGTAAGGTAAAACCGTTCTCTCAATGCGTTGGCCATGATTTTTTTTTGAAGTTTGCTAACATTTTAAAATCGTATAAAATTGAGAGTAAAAAAAGGAATTGTTCAAATTTGTTGTTGTTTGAGATTGAAAATGAGAATGTGTGTGTAAAATTTTAAAATTAAATTGCTTGCAAACGCCAAGAATTTGAAAAATTCCTCTCAGCGGTTCTACCTTCCTATTTTTTTATCATGAATAAAACCACGATAAAAATATAGCAAGGTATAACCGTTCTCTAAATTTGTCGGCCATGATTTTTTTTGAAGTTTGCCAACATTTTAAAATCATATAAATGTGAAAAAAAAATGAAATTGTTCGAAATTGTTGTTGCTTGAGATTGAAAATGAAAATGTGTGTGTAAGTTTGTGAGTAAATGTAAAAATAAAATTGTTTGGAAACGTCAAGAATGCGATTGTCCTTATATTTGCATTCGAGAATGAGCTGGATTTCACTTTCTCTCTTTTTACTATGGTTTTAGTTTTGTTTTTCGAACCTATTTCGAGTGTATTTCAAATTTACTCTGAACGTTGGAAAACCTCGATATGCATATTGGATATTGAGGGTAGTTTTCGAACGTTCGCCAAAATGTTTATGGGGAAGTAGTTAAAGTTCCTTGATACTTTGAAAACAACGTTTCTGTTTTCAAAAATTAAAACAAAATTTTGTATAAAGTTATTATAGAAAAATTTATAGCGATAAAAATTTCGATAACAAAATCGATAAAAATATCGAAAATAAAACCGATAAAAATATCGATTATTTTCGAAAATCTCTAAAATCCCAAAATAGTTCCCATGTGTCTCTCTCTATATCCTTTCCTCTTTAATTACCTTTATTTTTTTACCTTTCTTCCCCTATCTTCATCTTTACTTTTATCGGTATCCTCATCCTCATCTTTGGTTTTACTTTTATGTTAATCACTTTCTTCATCTACATATTGCCCTTATATAAATATATAAGTAAAGGGTTTAAGTTTACCTTGGTCCCCATTTTTGCCTTTATCTCTACGCATCCTTGTTTTTGTTTTTATTTTTACCTTTGCCTTTATCCTTTTCTTTATCTATGTTTACTTTCACTCTTGTACTGGTCTTTTTTTAAGGGTATTCTTTAACCTTTCATTAGCAAATTTTTGTTAAATTAATACCATATGCATACACACAAGAAGCACTTGTTTCAGCCCCAACCCTTTCCGTTGCACCATTTCTGTGTGCAATTTCCGTTGAATTTGCCAATTTACTCCCAAACAACCAACCGCCGCAAAATAAGTTTCACTTCAAAGAGTAGTTTCTCAGTTTTTCGAAGGTAGCCTCCGAAGTTAGCCTTCGAAGTTCGGACAAACATATTTCAAAAATTGTTTAACATCTGCGCGTATCTTAAATATAATCAAATTTGAAATTAATAAATTAAATATTTGTTGGTTGAAGTATTTGTTTGTAACTTTTATACCACATATACTTATGTGACACGTAAAGTTAAAAGGGACCTACGCTCAGAAAAAAAGATTTCGAGAAAAACGACGTTGAAGTTTACCAAGTTGATTTTGATGCTTCTGAACGTTTTAATGGATTGAAACTCGTTACTCGGGGGGTTTTCGGGGTCGCATTTTTCGGAAAAGGCATTTTTTTATACTTTCTTGCAATATTCCACATACCTTCAGCTTTCAGCTCCATATCAAAAAAAATTTTAAAACTAAATATTTTTGATAAAAAACGGATGAAATGGAGCTTTAGCGTAAAAACATTATTTGTTTTTTGTATTCCCAGTTGGAGTGACTGTTTGTTAGTAATTAGACAAGATATGGTGTCAAAAAGACACATCAATATTTTTTTCGAATGACCTACTACGGTACCACTGTGCAAATGAAACAAATTCGTTGAGGCGTTCGTGTGTTATGAGGTCACACACTAACAGCAATTAATTCTATATATAAAGATTAAAATTTAACTATAGTATGACAAATATCTTTTCAGAAGGAGCCAGGATGATTCATTTTACCAAATGCATGTATATAGTCGAAGACAACCACTTTCAAAACAATTTGGTTGAAACAGCATATAAAAACTGCGATTTTGTGATAAAATTAAACATTCTTTTAATTTTAGGTAACATTTGTTTACGTTATAAAATTTTCATACTCAAATTTGCGTTGTACTTAGTGTCAAAGGATTAGTCCTGCATGTAGATACTTAAATAACTTACAGTGCCTCATAAAATTTTTAACAAAATTATGTTTCTGATATAGAATTAGCTTCTATTTTACAAAGGTTGAACAATACGTTATGGTTAAATATATATAAAATATTTAGAAGAAAAATACTATGGTAGTAAAGTCTATGATTTAAAAAAGAATATGTAGAGTGTATGTTTTAATCGCTGCTGAAGCCATTAACTTGTCCCGCCTTCGCAAGTGCCTTCGCAACCATGAAAGTGTTACTCATTAACATGGCCACTGTCATGGGTCCAACGCCGCCAGGCACCGGTGTTATGTGGCCTGCCACTTTACGAACTTCTGCAAGTATGAAAATTAAAAAGTCTATTACATAAATTTATAAATAACTACCCAACTCTGTGTTATCTTGAACAATTATTTGCAAGAAAATATTATTAATTCTAAGTTGTTTCTGCTTGTATGGTCTCCAAAAAACAATTCAATTTATAATCATTTGTCAATATCATTTTCACTGTGTGATAGCCAAAAAACCAGAACGAGTTTCCTCTATATTTTCTGAAATGCACCTAGAGTCCGACTGATTCCCAATTTTTTGGCGATGCCGGTGCCGATTAATTGGCCGGAGGGCAAAGAATCGGCCGATGCCGATTCCTAAAAAACAACTACCTGAATATAAATTCATTCAAGAACAAATGTTTCTGATAAACTTTTATAATAACAAAAGAAAAACTTAAAAAAATAACATTACAAGGCAAATAATCATTCAAGAATTTATTCACTTACTTATGTACATTAGACTGAATCAGCAAAAAAAGTGGCGGTTTTTCCACCGGGTTTACAAAATGTATTATATTTTAAGACGTCCACCAAATTATTTCGGAAAAGTATTAAGATTTACGTAGCTCGACCGATTTGAAAATACCTCCAAAAAATATGACAAAATGTGACAAAACAGATTAATCTTAAAAAATGTGCATAAAAATATTTAAAAATCTTTTCAACGGAATCGTAATAAGGAGATTTTGATGCTATTTTTTTTACCTTTTTAAAAAATTGGTTTCCAAAAGCTTGAATAACTGAGCCAAAACTATGATTTAGACTTATGGGATCTCAGTAGAAAGGTATTTTTATGTCCAACAAAGTCATTCGTGTCCCATTTGTTTTTCTTTTTTTTTTGCAAATACTAAAAAATAAAAACAAATTAAATTGAATGATTTTATTCGCAAAGAAAAAAAGGTGAGAAAATACCTTTCCAATGCTACCTCAGAAGTCTAAATCGGAAGAGTTTAAGTTCAGTTATTCAAGTTTTTCTTTGAAAAAAGTTAAAAAAATAGCATCAAAAATCTCATTATTACGATTCCGTTGAATTTTTTTTTTCTGGAAATATTTTTATGCAAATTTTTTAAGCTTAGACCGTTTTGTCATTTAAGAGATTTTTTCAAAAAAAAAAAAGGAAACTATTTTTATTCATAAAAAACTCCATTATGTAAGAAGAAGAGATATTTAGTGATAAAAGAGAGAACCGTTTTTAAATAGGAGTAGCTTTACGCTATCCTAAAAAATCTTGGCAACCTCACATACCAGGTTTTGCATTTTCTTGATACGCAGTTTTGTACTTTATGTACATACGATTAAGTTATAAATATTTCCCTGGAGCTACGCCATACATATTTTTTGTCCCCTGCCTCCTCTCACTTCCGGCACATGCACGTGTTTGCAAAATGATGACGAAGACATTTTGTATGGAAAATCATTTATGCCCATACATATATTTGAAACAAATAGACATAATTAGAAGATATCAACTAATACCAAACGAAAGGAAAAAACTTGAATTTTTTACTAAAGAAAACAAAAACAAAATCATTCGAGCATTTTACGAGCATTTTGGTAATAAAAGGTTTTAGTTGATTTTTATACCTTTCATGAGCATGAAATGGTATTATAACTTTGGTCCGATGTTTGTAAGTACCAGAACAAAAAGAGATAGACCCATTAAAATGTATACTTATATGATCAGAACGTCGAGCTGAGTTGATTTAACCATGTCCGTCTGTCCGTCTGTCCGTCTGTCCGTCTGTCCGTCTGTCCGTCTGTCTGTCTGTTTGTATGCAATCTAGTCTCTCAGTTTTCGAGATATCCGTATCAAATTTGGTATGTGGGTGTATTTTTATAATGTATTAATCATTTGTCGGAACCGGAAGAATCGGACCACTATAACATATAGCTCCCATACACCTGATTGTTCAGATATGAGATTTTTCGTTATAACTTCTCCATTTATGCAGCTACGAACATGAAATTTTGCAGTACTTGCACCCATTGTCAACAGAATACTTACAGTGAAAATTACAAAGATCGGGTCACTATAACCTATAGCCCCCATACAACTGATTGTTCAGATATAAAATTTTTCGTTATAACTCCTCCATTTATATCGCTAGGAACATGAAATTTCGCACTGTTTTCAATAATTATCAACAGAAAACTTACAGTGAAAATTAAAAAGATCGGGTAACTATAACCTATAGCTCCCATACAACTGATTGTTCAGATATGAGATTTTTCGTTATAATTCATCCATTTATGTAGCTAGGACCATGAAGTTTCGCGCCGTTTTCACTCATTATCAACAGAAGACTTACAGTGAAAATAACAAAGATCGGGTCACTATAACCTGCAGACCCCATACAACTGATTGTTCAGATATGAGGTCTTTTATCATAACTCCTCCATTTATGCAGCTAGGAACATGAAATTTCGCACCACTTTCACTCATTATTTACAGAATACTTACAGTGAATATAACAAGGATCGGATGACTACAACATATATCTTCCATACATCTGATTGTTCAGATATGGGATTTTACGGTAAAACTCCTTTATTTGAACAGCTAAAACCGATAAATTTCGTAAGATATTTTATAATTAATAATACAAAGTCTACTGAGAAAATCATCAAAATCTATGCTGTATAAGCTTTATCTCCTATAGCACTGATTGTTCAGATACCAGTTTTTGCCATATATCTCCTTTATGTAGGAAACTAAACCCAATAAATTGTGTTACCGGTTTACATACCGATCACATAGCAGTGAAAATCACTTAGATTGGTGCCATATAAAGTATATCTTCCATACCTCTCATTGTTTAGATGCGATTTTTTATATAAGTATGTAACTCTTCTATCGATGTATGCAGACGTATTCAAAAGCAGTGATCTGTCAAAGTAAAATTTGCAGATGTTCATGAAAGGTATGAAGCCTTCGGCATAGCCGAAGACAGCGCTGCTCTTACTTGTTTCAACAATTCTTGGTCTTAAAAAGCTAAATTTTTGTCGAATTTATTTAAAATTTATACACAATAATATTTCTATTGCTCCAAAGCAGGGGTCGGCATTCTAACACATTCAAACGATTCAAAACTGAGACTGTGTGCATTAAATGCACTGCTCAGCTGCCGCTCTTCGTATATGTATGTACGTGTGAAACACACATGTGCTCAGAAAGCGCTCAGTGAGCTAAGGCCTGCCGACCACTACTGCTCTAGAGAACTCATATTCCGAAAATGAAAGTTATATCTGCAAAATCTTAGTTGCTCGAGCGCATTAAGGGCTCAAAATAGACCCCAAAATAAGCCAATATTTACCGTTGTTTCTACGACAGAAACTGAACTGAGCCCTTACAAAAATGAATCTATAGGTTTGGAATGTTATCTTTGAAACGCCGCTTTTTTCTTCAAAATCGCTTCATTGGTTCTTGTGCAATCGCTAAAAATTACAACTGCACAAACTTATTTTCTTCAAAACGTTTGAATGGTTTTCTAACTGAAGCTACTAAATACGAGCTATTTACTATAATTATTCACCAGACGCTAACGAAAATAAATTTTTTCTGTGTCACCTCGTATGTGGCATTGCATTTGGTGGATACGAGGTATTGCGCGACAAGCGAGGATATGTATGTATATACAAAATTTTAATAAAATGATCTGTTTGTTGCACAGAATTGGGCTGTAAATATGTACTTGTGTATGTGTATATGCATCCATAACCCACCTTCAAAATCTACATCGCCAACAAGCTTAGTTTTACCCGGCTCTTTTGCGGCTATACGTGTTATACCAATATCGATGACGCACGCACCAGGCTTAACCATATCCATTTGTACAAGTCCCGGTTTACCAACAGCTGTTATTATTATATCTGCCCCTTGACAGTGTTTCTTCAATTGATCTGGTGGTGTATTGCGGTGACAAATAGTTACAGTGGCATCCATACCTTTCAATTCATGATGGCCATCTGTGTGCAGTAGCATCGCTGTTGGCATGCCAACATTCTTGGAACGTCCAATGACAACAACATTCTTACCAATCGTAGGTATTTCAGTGCGTCGCAATAGCTCGTACACGCCTAACGGTGTAGCTGGTATGATAGTGTTCATGTCGAGCGCCAAACGGCCAATGTTGACCTCATTGAAGCCATCGACATCTTTCGATGACGCCACTGCATTACAAATAATACGTTCGTTGATGTGATTCGGCACAGGTAATTGCACTAAAATTCCATCGACTTCTGCATCGTTGTTCAATTTTTTTATACAGTTTAAGAGCTCTTCCTGGGATGTAGTTTCGGGTAGTTGAATCGTGTTGCTTACAATCCCAACAGTTTTGGCGGCTATCATCTTATTTTTCACATATGTCTGACTTGCTGGATCGTTGCCTACCAAAATAGCCGTAAGCGTAGGTGAGCGATTTCCCTGTGCGACAAATTCAGCAATTTTTTCCTTGAGCTCTGTTTTAATCTTTTCAGCTATTGCCTTACCATCGATGATTTGTGCCTCGTGACTGTAAAGAGAGGGTGTATTTCATTTTTAAATCAAATTCTTAAAATAATAACGTATCTAACAACTAAAATCGCTTAATAAAAATTTCTCTATTGCTTATGGGGAGGGGACTGTGACAGAAATAGCTGCTCAAGAAGGTTCCCACGTATTCCTGCTGAAAATTTCGTTGTTAAAAGTGTAAAACGATATGGCCGACCAATCACAGAATAAGTATACGAATGCAAATATTTAAGAAAGATCATCATGAAGGAGCTGTAACATCGCTGGGCAACTAAACATCCATCAGCGGCGAACCGTATTTAACCATTTGGAAATAGATGGATAGGAAAAGACACTCGTAAGATGGGGAACTTCATCGAAATCGAGCTATTTTGGAAGCGCAGTGGATATGAAGAATGAATCACATAGAGTAATAACGTACGTAAATGATCGTAGTCCAATAAGGATGAAACTAAACAAGCGCTGCTCAAACCAGTATTGGCTCCTTTTGTAAAAAGCCATAATGTAGTAAACAATCAGCAGTTAAAGTCTACTTAATGTTTTGTGCAATTAAAAATTCGATGAGCGTGAGACGTAAAGTCTAAAGTGGAATTACTGTTACCCAAATTAGAACACATTCTCAAAAAAAGTTGATAGCAAAATATTGCAATTTTGTTTTGATGACGAAATGATTTTTTTTCTTGCTGCCAAATGAATTAATAAATTTTTCTTAAATCTTAAATTCACATAAGCCTTGGCATTTTTGGCTAGGTTCGGCTTAGATACTGCTATTAAAGAGTACAAGTAATACATCTTGCCACCATATTTTGTGTTGCATTGCGTTCGATTTATGAGAAAAGGGCTACTTTCGTAGGTTATGTTGATACTGTCAGTAGTGGACTATTTACCATTTGGAGGGGAGAACTCAACAAAGAGAGGAAACAAAAATCTGTTTAACAGGTTACACTTCTTCTCCTTGATAAGCGCTGTAACCACCTAAGCTCAGTTGTTTCTCTTCGTTTTGGATTAGACTGACCAGGCTTAATTTCCAGTCATCGGAAATGCGTTCATCTGACAATATCGATGGCTGAGTGGAATATAGATCTATCTCGGCAGCCAGTTCAAAAACGCCCTATCTCAGAAAACTTTTCAAGAACGCCCTATTTTAGAATTTGATTGAAAATCCCCCCTATTTCATAATTTTATTGAAAACCCGAATTTGGTTGAATAACGCACTATCTCACAACTCGGTTAAAAAAACGCCCTATCTCAAACGAAAAAACATTGAACATAAGCTGGGAGAGGGCATTTTTGAACCGGCGGCTGAGAGAGGGCATTCTTCAACCAAATTCTGAGATAGGGCGTTTTCGAACTGGCTGCCGAGATACGTCGATCTTCCACTCAGCCATCGATATTCTGCATAAAAGATGATGAATGAATGATCAGACTTCTCTCCGCCGCACTTGAATAGCGCAGCATGCAGGTCGCCAGGACCAACAGCTTTTTTGCTTTTCAGGGGCGAAATTGGTATTCGCACTTCGTCATAGTCAGACGGTGGAACATCTCTGTCATCATCATCAACTGGGGGCTCCAGTTCATATTCTCCAATGATTTCAGTGCTGCTACCATTAAATATGATGGACACGTGTTTCCTAAATTATTGCGATACGTTGTGGACATCGCTCATAGGGTCGCCGGGGCCTGGTCTTGAAACCTTCTGCAAGTCGCTAAAATTTTTGGTAAAATTTTCTGGCGTTTTTCGTAAAATACGTATCGCTTCCCTCTTTAGCTCCCAGATAGCTCCCGTTGCGTCCGCTCACACCGTGTGTCTGTAGCCGGCGCATCTTTTTCTCTACAGCATTCCTTATCATACCAGTTGTTCTTTCAGGCTCGTGGTACGTAATGAGTGGGAAATGTGGTTCCCCTGCTCGCCACGGTTGCCACTTCCAAATTCTTTGTGTACCAAAAAGTGTATTAAAATTTAAAAACTTTACCGAAATATATTTTTATATGGATTAAACTATTAAAATTGTTTCGTAAGAGTCCAGTTTTTTTAATGCCGTCTAACACGGGGCCTAGCATTGTCATCCTAGATCATACATTCATCAATATACCAGACTTACTCTCTCTCTCTCAGGAATTGTCCCTTTCAGGAATAATTACCATGTAGGGATAATTTCGGTAGCATTTTGTCTGTGCGCTTGATGATGGGATGCTTACTATGTTGCTCTATAGTAAAGCGCTCCAGCAAAGCCTCGTTGCGAATTAGTATGGCTAGAGGTGGTATATCTGTGAGATTACCGGTTCTTTCGTGGGACAGGTACGTATACATGGATCTTGTAATGGCTACACAGACCAATTGGTGCTTGACTTTTGGCTTCCAGGACTGTGCTGAATACATAATAATCGGTATGATCACTGTATTGGATAGCCAAACCGACAGTTAGGGGTATTCCCCCAAGTTTTATTTACCATTTAGTCTCTGACAAGACATTATTGGCAACGATGATATGACTTCCAGTTGAGTCTTTTGTTCGGGGTTATCCCTATATACTTCGCCGTTTGAGATAATTCAATCTACGAAATTTCCGGTGGGGATTAATTCAAATTGACCATTGTTCTTTTCATGAAGGTAACGAGGGTGGACTTAAGTGGGTTTGTTGACATACCCTTTTCAGAGCACCATTTCTAATTCAGTTTTAGGGCTGTCTGCCATCTAAAGGCAATATTGTCTTCATTACAGGCCACCACGTAGACTAGAGAAGAGTAGCTTATCTCCATAGGCAAAAGTGTTAAATTCATTGCCTGTTAAGTTTTCCAGGGACTCATCTCTACTACCTCATAGTTCGGTTATTATAGTTCTGGATTCAACGTGCTTATAATCGTTGGATTTTGTTTCGTATGGTTAGCAGAGTTAGACAATGTAATATGCAGTAGATTCCCCGATTAATATGCTTCTTTGCCTACAAATAAAGGTTTGAACTTTAAATAGGTATCTTATTTGGCCAGTTGCCTCTCTCCTTTGCGGATTTGCGCCAGGTGTTCATCCCAAGTGTGGACAGGTCCTTCTGCAGTTGGTCCTTCCATTGTGTTTGTGAGCGCCTTGCTACGCGGTTCTTGCGTAGGTATAAACAAGGTATATTAGGTAAATTTCTTACTCCATAATTTAGGTGGTCACACTATTCCGAAATACGCTGGACTCAATGGCACATATCTTGAGCGTATTTGTACAGTGTAAAAAAATGCCGATTGAAATTAACAAAATGAAAATTTGGTTGCATAGAAGCATGGCAACCCTGATGGCAAATATTTTCCGACCAAAGTTCTCAACAATACCTTTCATTTGATATCCATATTGCGATATTTTAAATAAATTGTATTGAATTCAAAATAAGTGGCAACCTTGTACTATTATCGTAAGGGATATTATTTTGTATATAGGGAAAGCATTGTTTAAGAACCTTCTCTTGGTACCCATGAATAGTAATATTCTACCTTTTTTCTAAAAAAAATTTAAATAAATATTCGATTCAAAATAAGTGGCAACCCTATTAAAAATATTTTTGAATTAGGGATCTTCAAAATATTTTCCATTTGATACCCATATTATGATGTTTTCATTAATTTCTAACTTATTTGGAATAGGTGGCAACCTTATACGATAACCTTAGAATCCACAATATTATCTGTGTATAAAATTTCGTCAAAATCGTTAGAGCCGTTTCCGAGAACGCTACGGATATATATATATACAAGAATTGCTCGTTTAATGTAATAATATTAATTTCATCTGATTTCCCTTGATGGCTAATACTATTTAAAATAAATGTAGCCTAAGTCGGATGGGCCCTTTCCCTTTAATGGAGCTTTTCATTTGGCTCCCAAACAATAGTTTAACGTTTGACTAGCCATACATATATATGTAGGTGTAGTTCAAGCACGTTTGCCACTTGTTAAAATAAGAAAAAAACAACCGAATTGAAAAAATACAACCAAATTTTTTGATCTACTTACCCTATACACAATTTGGCGAACGTTCGAAAATTACCTTCGATATCCAATATGAATATCGAACTGAGAACGAACTCATAACCAAGGTGTATTAAACAAGGTGTGATTGACAACTCAGTGCGGCTCTCTTTTAAGGTACTATAATGTCAAAAAGTATAAACAAACGAATTAACCCTTAGTGATGCATGTATCTTGTCAGCACTGATACCAAGGCTCTTATTTTGATTATAGTTTTGTTTTACTTACATTACCTGGAATATATATATATTTTGTCAATAAAATAAAATAAAAATTGTTTATAAAATCGTTTTAGCAATTTTCTTGTTTTTAATTGCCCAAGTTTTATGCTTTTGTGCGTTTATTTTCATATTTAAATTTTGTATCCTAAACATTATTCGACACTTATAGAAGTATGATTTTACATTTGTTTCCAATTTTATATGAGAGCTTAACTCTAACAATTTTGAAATTAAATTTTTTTTATGCGAAATAGTTTGGGTATAAATGAGCTCGTTTGAAAGTGCTTGACTCGGACGGACAACAAATGAAATCACTTTCCTTGAAGTGGTTTTCAAAAACGCGAGATGAATCACGTAGTACAACATTACATCGCTGCCGTCTTAACTCGCAACTAGGTGGTTTCAAACATCGCTCTATTTTCGTGTCCTGACTTTTATTGCATACAGCGCACCGTTCAAAAGTTTTGCTCCGTTTCATCTTGGTTTCCTTACATTAAATATTTAAGAAAAGTCGAACGAGCATATTTACTTATTACCAAACTATAAATGTGCTTACTTGCTCTCCTCGGCGGTTTATATCTTAACAATTTCACGTTTATTAAGAAAATTTGTTGCTTGAAAAATTTCTGTGTAATTTTTTTTAAACAAATTCAAATTTTAAAAAAAAATATTTTCAAATGGGTTAACAATTCATTTCAATTTGACATTATAGCCTGTTTCTTATGAGAGCAATGTCAAAATCAATCACACTTTGTTGAATACATTTTGCTCA